CAAGCAATGTAACACCCCCAAATTTATAACCAAAATAGATGCTAATTATAGCAAGAATATAAATAATTTCACTAAACATTTAAGTTCAGAACGGTTTCAATTGCAGCGGAAGCATAATATTCAATGGGTGTTACCGCCACATTCGGCTATCTCTTAATCGAATGCACAGGCTAAACCACAATCCAAAGATATTATAAATACTAAGTTCAAAACTAAATTAAAACAATAACAATTTCTGAAAATCTGAATTTAATACATGTATCCAGTAACTAGTCTATGTTATCTATCGAATCTCTCTTTATCAAGCATACTCTTCATCACCTGCACCAAATAAAGTGCAGAAAACAAAACAAAGAAAAGGAAACAAAAATTAGCTTTTTAGCTAAGTAAGACCCACCCAACCCCGTAAAATAATATAGTTTGAAGAAAATATATTTGGTACTTAATGTATAGATTCAAAAATCCATTTAGTTCTCAAAATACAATTTTCAAGTTGAAAATCACATTCATCATTCAAAATAACCTTTGAGCTTCAACATTAAAAACTATAAACTTTATCCACTCAACACAATTTAACTCTCAACATAAAAACTTTCCCAAAATAACTTATAAATACTTATCCATAAATATTTCATATTCCAATAAACACTTATCTACAATTAATTCTCCAAAACCATTTACTCTTCAATTCAAAAATATTTTCTAAACTACATGAATACCCGGGTTGTCTAGCGGTCCTATCATAATGAACATGTTGTTCATAGATTACTCCATTATATTATAAAGATCATTATGAATTTGTAATTCATAGGTTACTCAAGATTTCATTATGAACATAGGGTTCATAGATTACCCCGCCTATCATTATGAACACATTGTTCATAGATTACTCCACCAATCATTATGAACATAAAGTTCATAGGTTAGTCACATATCATTATGAACACATGGTTCATAGATTACTCCATCTATCATTATGAACGTATGGTTCATAGATTACTCCACCAATCATTATTAACATAAAGTTCGTAGGTTACTCACATATCATTATGAACACATGGTCCATAGACTACTCCATCAATCATTATGAACACATGGTTCATAGATTACTTCACTTATCATTATGAACATAAAGTTCATAAGTTACTCAAATATTACTTAACTTCAAAATACTTTTTCAAAATATTTGTTTCAGATTCAGGTCTCAAAATCAAATGCTAAACATCTCCAATTCAAAGTCAAAATTCACAAATTAGGGTTCACCCAAAACTAGTTCCAAAATAGTATTCAATACCATATTCAAAATAATGCGATAAGGATGTTTCTAACTCCAGAACATATACATAAATATTCATACCAAATTATACTTTTAAAAATATATACTTTGTCCCAAAAGATTTGATCTCACACCACTTCCCAAAAGAGGGTTTAACCCAAACCACCACTTCCCAAAAGTAGCATTTACAACCACCAAAATAATCCAATTGAGGTAGTCTAAATCCAGAATATATTTTCAAAATAATCAATGAGAATAAGTTCAAAACATACTGCAATTCATACCAAAACAATCACCACAATTTTCTAATACAAGAATAACTATTTCTCAAAAATCACAATTTTGACCATAACAAGCTGATATGATAAATTCACCATAAATCATACGTTTAAAAATTCCCATAAAGTTATACATCATCATATCCATATTATAATAGCCAAAATAGTCATAAATTTTCATAAAGAAACTCAAATCATAGCACAAACCCTAATTAATACATAATAGGGGCAAAATAGAAGTTTTGGTTGCAATAGTCCTTATCTCGAGGTTAGCAACGAATCCTAAATGTCACACCTACTTTGAGAGGTTACTCACACTTCCCTGTGAAGTTATAGGGTCAAAGGATCACAATTTAGGATAAGGAATTAAAGAAAACAAATAAACGATTTGAATTAGGCAACAAACACACTTACAGGAAGAATTGATTGTTTGATCACGTTATTCGACTCAAAATTCGTGTTGGATACGTTAATATTAAAGATCTGTAGGAGATATAGCTTGAAGAGGCGGTTCTAGGGTTTTTAGAATGAGGAAAATCGGACTAGGGATGTATTTACTATTTATAGTGAATTTCCGAAATTTGGGTCGGGATAAAATTAACGCGCACGACGTGCGGCCTTGCACGGTACCACCGTGCAGACACTCTTGCAACGGTGGTCTTGCCCGCACGCCCCCGGATCTCTTGGACACTCCAAATTCAATTTTTGCTCAAGTTTCTTTCACGTTTGGACCTTCCCTAGGCCCCTAACACTAAACTATACATAATAAACTATCTAGAGACCATCTAAACGATACAAAACCCAACCTTAATTATTTATCAAATTCTCTCAAATTTTCGGGGTATTACAGGCAACGACCACAACACAAGCAAACAGCTTCGCACCTACTACGACCCAACTAGCATCACATCGGCCACAAATTATAGTAAAATAAAACCCAAAGCCTTCGGCCAATGGTACAGAACCCATTGATGATAACCTCTGGCCTGCGACTTTCATCCAATGGTTCTCTCACAGGGTTACCATGGATTCATGAGGAATGCAAGTGCCTCTCTTCGGCATGAAGGAGTGGGATACTGGGGGGGCTACATCGGCCTCAGAATACCCAAAATCCATCAGAATAAATCAAACTCAAACACACAGGAAAACTAAGCTACACCATGGACATCATAACGTCCACACACATGGTCCACGTCGACTAAACCAGCGTAAGAAGGCAACAACCACACTCCATTGTTCATAAGGGGTAAATGCATCAGATCTACACCGGCTACAAAGGTAATGGCAACCCATCGGCCATTAAACAAACGTCAATGATAACGCGCCAAGGAATCAACGGGTCACACAACGGCCAACCACACAAGGAAATAACAAGCAGCGAGGTATCAACCACGCAGGGCTCCTCTCATGCCAAAAGCAACAAAAATGCTTCCTTTCACTTCGTATGCGCCTCAGCTCAGAGAGTGGGGGACTCCTGATAGAGTATATGGGCCCAACCCTGATGGCCCACATACTCAAAAGGATCAAACACAAAAGACTGACACCCGCGTGGCACTTCGTCGGCCAGATGACACTCCATCGGCCAAGACCAAAGTTACTCAGAATATGGCCCAGAGGCCCAGGAGCAAAATGGGTCCTCCGTCGCTCAGGCACTCCTTCATTCAGGAGGCACTCCGTCGGCCAGAATGCACTCCATTGATCAGACAGAAATGCTCTGGCAGAATAGGTTTTTATACTTAGCCAAATAAATCATGTACTCGGCCCATTAATGACCTTATTATTGTAATGAGTCTCCTAAGCCCAAGGCTAGGATCCGAAATTCACATTTCCTCCAATAAATAGCCCCTTAGGGGTAGTTATAGAGGGTTGAAAATTGTAATTTGTTCACTTTCTCTCTATAGATCTCACTTCTCTCTAAGATTAATACTCTATCACGCCATTTTGCTTCCGTGCGTCTTCTTCTGCGATTAATTTTTTCCTTTCTTTTCTTCCCTTCTTTTCTCTTCTTCCTTCCTTTCTCTGAGTCTGAAAATTCGTCCACCGAAGGACAAGCTCGGTGCACCAGAGGTGTAGAACACAAACGCTGAAATTTCGAGCTTGTCCGTCGAGAATGGAAGCACAATGGCACTTTAGGTCTAGAATTGAAGACGTTCTCCGGATTTTCAATCTCTTCGACAAAGACACCATCCTTTTCGGAGGTATAGAAGATGTACACTGGAATTACAAGCTTGTTAGCCAATCGGCCATCGTTGCCGGCGGTGTAGAAGACGTACGCCGGAATTTTGAGCTCACCCTCACCATTGTTGTCAGCCTTATCGAGCGAATCCTCTCTGTCATCGACGAAGACCGGAAGTCTGGCAACAATGACGCCTCAACAAGGAGAAGATTTCCTCCGCCTAAATCACCCTCTTCCAGTCTTTGTCTGAGTTCGTTATTTGAAGAAGAATGGAAATTATGAAACACAATGGTCAATTGAGTACAAGAAGAAATAAAAAGGGAGCAACGGTAGGGAGGTGAGAAAGGAGAGAATTGAAGAAAAGTAGAAAAGGTTCGTTGCTTGGGAGAAGGAAAGAAGAAGGGAAAAAATGGGGCTGAAGAAAAAAAGGATGAGAAGGAGAAAAAATATGTCGATTGCCACATCAACCACATGACCAGGTAACTGTCTATCACATGTAAAATTCTAAATTTAACTGTTTTTTAAAGTTTGTGGGCTTATTGGGTGTTATTTTAGTACAATGGCCTAATAAAGTATTTTGATATAAGCTGTTCTTACTTGGACTAGAATTTGCTGATCTGGTCTGGTTTGGTTTCTTTGTATTTTTATAATTACTCAAGTTTGATATGATTTGATCTGTTCTGGTCTGGTCTGATTGGGACAGATTACCGTCCTTAGTAAAAACATGAGAATTTACCCTAAATAGGACTAAAAACGTTTGTTAATTCCAAAATGAGACTGCCATGTTTTTAATTCCCAAAATGGGATTAATTACTGACATGTTTTGGCATTACCAGACTTCAAACATGACAATATTTTCCAAACTTGACAGTAATTACTCTTATTTTGGGAATTAAAACATGACAGTCCTATTTTAGAATTTACAAACGTTTTTGGTCCCATTTCGGGAACTTTCCCTAAAAACATCATACTATGAATGACTATTTGACAATTTTACCAATTTTATACTCCGTATTAGGTATTTTTTTTGTTATGGAAGGAGCGCTCAACTCCATCAAAAAAATGAGCGCTTAACATTTTTAAATTACGTTCGCCAAAAAAAAAAAAGTAGGCTGTACCCAGACGACTCGCAACACAACCGTCAACACAATGATCGTTCGGATCCATACCTCAGCCGTTGATTCTGTCGTAATCTAATGGCTACAAATTATGATCCGCGTCAATGCTTCCTATTGGCTGATTTTGAAATCCCAATAAGCTATATAAACACCAAAACGATATCAATCCGTCAACCAGAACAACAGTTTCCATCCTCTTGCCGTAATCCAAATCAAATAATCTAAGCAGCGGCAAATCCAGTAGCAACAATGGCCGGTCGCGGGAAAGCCCTCGGTTCCACAGCTGCGAAGAAGGCAGTGTCACGTAGTAGCAAAGCCGGGCTCCAGTTTCCCGTCGGTCGTATCGCCCGTTTCCTGAAGGCCGGAAAGTACGCCGAGCGAGTCGGTGCCGGTGCTCCGGTTTATCTCGCTGCCGTCCTCGAGTATCTCGCCGCTGAGGTACCGACTTTACCCATACTCTTCGTTTCATTGTTCAATTTCCCTCTCCCTGTACGATTAATGATTCAATTAGTCTCCCCAATCATATTCGATAAAAAATCGCATTTCTAGGGTTTCTAAATGTTGTTCGATTTATTGATTCGATGTGATATTCAGGTTTTGGAATTGGCTGGAAATGCGGCAAGGGACAACAAGAAGACCAGGATTGTGCCAAGGCACATTCAATTGGCTGTGAGAAACGACGAGGAGCTCAGCAAGCTGCTGGGAGATGTGACGATTGCCAATGGAGGAGTGATGCCCAACATTCACAACCTTCTTCTCCCTAAGAAGACTGGTGGGAACTCGAAGGTCGCAGATGAGGATTAGATACAAGTTATGGAGTTTGATCTTTTTATTGAATGCTGAGTTGTTTGTTATTTCATGTTTAAAAAAGAGAAATTGTAGCAGTACAATAGAATTTAGGTGTTCTTGTAGTTTCTGTATGTGTTCATGTGAATGTAAATGGAGTTCAAACTCTGTTTAGCTGTTACAATTGATGAATATAATCTCTGGTTGCAGGATTTCTCATGTTTTCTTGGCATGTTCTTTCATCTAAACATAGAATTGTATTTATATTGTTAGTGATAATCGATTGAGGAATGGGTTGTATCTGTCATATAAACTGCGGTGTTTATATAGCCTATGTAACTATATTGGTAGTACTATCATACATTTGACAATTTTAAACTTATGAATTACTTAATTTCGTTATTAAGAATGTATTCCAAAAAGCTATAGACCTGTTTTGAAGTAGTAACTTTATGAAATTCAATTCAATGTGATGGAATGCAGCATGCATAGTTTGCGAGGAAATGAAATCTACACTAGATAGCAAGGATATAGACATTGATTTTTAATTGGACAGTTGGGGATTCAAAATTTCAAATATCATTAACAGTTAACATAAGGCATTGACTACAAGAACCTGAGATATACTTGCAATATCCTTGAGTTTGTTTTGACACGGCAACCAGGTTAAAAAGATTATCCTTTGTATATGTATAACTGAGCCTATAAAATTACTTATTGAAGCCATGAACTCTTGAAGGCTAATTTATTAGATTACTCTCAGTTGAGTTCCTATGAGTTTCCTTTGTTCAGAAACAAGGTGGAATTCATTTATTTCATGAGGTTTTAAAAAGGATATTACTCACGATATTTAAAATGTTACTCCGTATATTTTTTTAAACGAATCTAGTTGGTATCTATATTTATTAGTCATAAATATCTAAGTATTCCATTAGAGTGTCCGTAGAAAACAATGGATTGGCGGGAATTTTCTATCGCCATTCCAAAAACACGAAAATTTCAATATATGACAAATCACAAATATCATGTTTTTCTTTTGAAAATCCGCTTTTCAAATTGTCAAAATCACATCGAAGGATAGGGAAGGATGAACGTTATGATTTTCACCTTTAGAGATTTTAGATGCTGCACATTCAAAATATTTAAGTCATACAAATTTTTTATGTTGACAATCGAGACGTTGAATTCGCATTTAGTCCACTTAAACATACAGATTATCATCCTAGATACCTCCACCCATTAATTCCCTTCTAACACATTCGACCCACTATCATAAAAACATACAATTAAAAAAATATTAAGTATAGTTCGTAGTTCCGATTTTATCGCGTTATATAAGAAGTTGGAAATTTAATTACATTTTTATGCATTTAACAATCACACTTATTTTATACTGATTGTTTTATGTAAGTGGGATAATTTATGATTATTAATATTTGGAAAAACACAATTACAATACACACACATACTTCGTATATAATTTATACTCTGTCTAAGTTACTACGGAGTATAAAACATATTTTCCATTTTTGATGAAGTTCTTACACTTTAGCCTCTCAAAATTATACTCATTATTCTTTTCAATGAAAAGATGATTGCATATTTGCATTGTACCCTAATATTAGAAAATAATTGAGTAAAAGGTCAGTTTGGTCCTTGAAGTTGTATAAAAGGGGTCAAATAAGTCTTTATATAGAAGATTCTGTCTGGACGTGTCATTTGAGGCGGTTCCCGGTGGAATTTTTTGAGCATCTTATTCATTAAGTCTAGTTCACTCATACCAAATTTCAGCTAACAATTCAATCGGAAAGTCATTCAAATGAATTCTTGAAGATAACTGCGCTTTTAATTGCACAATTATCTTCAAGAATTCATTTGAATGTCTTTCGGTCAGGAGCTCATAGGGACTAGGAAGTACGGTATATTGTATTATGAAGTCTATATGTAAAGTTTTACTAGCTACAGAGTTCAGAACTTGATAGATCGATAGACAATGAGGAAATGAGGAATCTTTTTGTGAGTTCTCATGTGCGTTTAATAAGTTTGGTCTGATTCTTGATAATATTTTTTGATGATTTTTTTTAATATGTTCTTCACCAAGTCTAGTTTATGTATATCAAATTTTAGTTAAAATTCAATCGGAAAGACAGTTAACTAAATTATAAAAACAGAGTGCTCTTCATGTCAGTCCGGCCTGACGGGCTGCCCCGTCCGGCCGAGCCCGTTTGGGCACCTTCCCGGTGGAATTTTTTGATGAAATTTTTTGAGCATGTTCCTCGTCAAGTCTAGTTTATCCATACCAAATTTCAGCTCAAATTTCGATCGGGAAGGTCGTCAAATGATTTTTGCAAGTTAACTGGTCCGGAATATGTATTTTCCGGACCAGTTAACGTGCAAAAATCATTTGACGACCTTCCCGATCGAATTTTGAGCTGAAATTTGGTATGGACAAACTAGACTTGATGAGGAACATGCTCAAAAAATTTCATCAAAAAATTCCACCGGGAAGGAGCCCAAACGGGCTCGGCCGGACGGGGCAGCCCGTCAGGCCGGCCTGATGAGAACAGCCCTCTATAAAAACATACTGTGCATTATGTACAAAAGCACATAAACTATACTTGATGAAAAAGGTGCTCAAAAAATTTCATAAAAAAAATTCCACCGAGAACCACTCCATGACCCCAAACACTGAATTCTTCACGGCAATTCTGGTCAAGAGCTCCTGACTCGAACGGGGCTCATACTAATGTTGTAATAAAGTATTATGATAAGTTGATAACGAATTTGTGTTATTGATCCACAAGCACCAGTTTTGGTCATTTACTGATTTGGACAAAAACCAGACCCGAACACCAGCCGCGCAACCATTTTTATAGTGAAAAATAGCCACCTTTTCTTCCAAACAAAAAAAATTAACACACACATGATAGTTAAATAATGACTGAACTGCCTTCCATTAATTACAAAATAAAATAAACAAATAAAAACGAAATTAATTTAAAAACTACAATGATTTTCCTACCTATTGCAATGATGTTTCTTCACTACCTGCAATTTTGCAGATGGTCTTTGTATTACAGAAGTTTGTGCAACGGATAAAATCCAGCCTCCTGTTTGACAAGCTTCCACCCATGACCCACCCTACTTCAAACTTACAATAAAAAAAACAATTGAGAGTAAAGAATGACAAAAAGAGATCAAGGCAAGTTAACCCAATGCAACTAAGCCTCATCTTCGGAACTGGATTCATCATCATATCTTCTATCAATAATTGCAGGAAAAAGTTTATGCCGTGGATCAGAGGGAGATTGGGGTTCTGAAGGACCAACAGCCATATTATATTTCCGTGGTGACGACTTTGGCTTCATTTGTGCAGCTCCTACTTCTCTGCATACCCTGTCAAGTATTACCAGAAAATCACGAACTATGACGAATAATCGCAACCCTTCATCTTTCCCAGCATTCCCATGGAAATAATCACCGGTGCTCTTAACAAGACACATTATCCGCTTTTCTTCTTCAAACAGCCACGTGACATCAACTTCAGCATTCTGCACAAAATTCTGTAGTGTGCGGAGAAACCCATCTTCCTCGTTCACTTGGTCCATGACTGAACTCAGGAAATTCTTTGCATTTACTAAAGAACGGCCGAGATTGGCCACTGTGCTTGTCAACTCACTAGCGTCAAGCACTGCAGCATTCTTGACATGCTCAAGCTCATTACTCAGACCTGACACAGCTTGTAGACCGAGGGCTCGATGATAATTTTCCGAATCCTGAAGGAGATCATCTGACACTGGACTAGATGTGCCCTTAGGTTCCTTGGCTGCTTGGGCAGCTGACCGTGATCCTTCAGAGCGGATTATCTCCTGTACAACAAAATGTAAAAGTGTGGTCTTTCCATCTGTCCCTTTCACGTCTGATAGTTTTAGTAGTGTATCGAGTTTGAATGCTTGTGCACCTCCGCGGTATGTTCCGACATTCATGCGGTTCCCAGTTTTTAGAACTGCCTCCAGTAGTTTGAGAAATAACCGGCTCTTCCGTAGTTCAGTGCAAGCAGCCTTGGTAAAGTTTAAACCAAAAACGGTGTATAAGTTCAAAATGGCGCTCATAACTAACATGAGAAAAATTGCACTTTATTTCTTATGGTCTGATCATATAGGTGACTCAGTCCCTACATTTTTATGTAGCAATGACAAGCCTTATGTTTGCACCGAAGTATCTATTAGCCTTTTTTCATTAAATCACATTGACAACGCTTCAAAAATAAAAAAAAAGACTCCAGAGAAAATTGCTAATTGGTTTTAACTTTTTATCCTTCTTACTATTCTGAAAAATATTTGAAAAGTTATTTATTTTAACTATTTAAATGTTCAATAAAAAATTAAATATGTATAAAATCCAAACATATTATAAATTGATGAGTTCCTTGAAAAACCATGTTATATATTCAGTTGACGAAATTCCAAGTTTCCAACAATTTGATATTTACAGATCTTCGATACTTCTTCCATCCTTATTTAAATCAATACTAATAATAAAAATTTAAAAATTGGAAGCTACTTTAAAGTTCTAAGGAATCGCAAAAACTGTATTCGAATATTATGAAACTTCTGAAATAGACCCTATTTCCCTATTTTTTCCTTCTAGCTTTCCCAGTTCCAAATAGACCCCTAATTTTCAGTGAGATAAAAGAAAATATATACCTCCAATGTAGCAAATGATTCTTTAATCATTGACACCTCCTCTTGAAGAGTGCACATGAAAATTAATGATTCTAGCCTCTTGAAGGCAAATGGAATGTCAACTAAGACTTTCAGAAATCGCTCAGCATGCCCAAGTCGAGAAAGGTCTCCACTATAGGCCCTCAGCTTCAGCTCTTCTTCAGATGTCGGTGCCATCTTCAGCAAAGTTTGAAGCAATTCTGGTGGAAGCTCATTTCCTGATATTTTTTTAAAAGAAAAAAGTCAGCTGATGATTTTATGCTGTGAATTCCATAAATAGTACCCGGTTTCCCCATTTCAAGAATTAAGTCTGTACTTTGTAGCTGACAATGAAACAGCGAATGATTAATCTTAATTGAGAGCAAGGCTCTGTGCTAGATGAAAAACAAAACAAACACATTATCTCAATAAGACTATGAACGCACCCTTTTCTATTTCTTTATTTCCCTTCCCTCCAAAATTCTCAAACCAAACAAGCCCTAGAAGATGAAAAATTTCCTATTTAAATGCACATGATCTCAATATGACTGTGAGATTGCCTTCTTTGAGCACATTATCTCAATGAGACTACGAAATCACCCTTTTCTATTTCTCT